ATAAATCCTGCATATTTGTGTTTGATTATTACGTTATCAGGCATCCACTTGATCAATCCATTTGGGATATTTATGCCATTGTGAATAGCTATACCATGTCAGGTTATTCTTACAAAAAATAGCGTAAAATAAATCACTCCTCTGGAAAGCAGAGTCAGATTCAAAGAAAAGTCAATTCTTTTAAAAGTGTAAACACATTTATTACAGTTAGTTGTAAAAGATAACCAATAAACCAAGTTGTATAAAATGTATCTGATTTCCATTAGTAGGACTAGATTTTTCAAGAGATTTTCTGACAATATAGATAGCATCAGATATTTTAATGTGCTTAACATCTAGCAGCTTCTATTCTGAAGGTGATCTGTGGCGTTTGGGACAACACTGAAAAGTTGGCCATATATACGAAGGCGTTCCTTGTTAGATGACCTTGCGTAAATGTAAGAAAGATGATGTAAAACTAGTTTATATCCTATATTACAAATCAAACATACATTTAGTTTCAGTGTGTAGAATATGTACTGCTTTTTGTTGTTGTTTTATATAGTCAAGTGATTTGGTAATTCTATTTCATGTAGTAGTTGAAAATTGTATTTTTAATTAGTAAAAATTACAAACTAATTCTGATCATCATGTTGATTATTTTCAAAAATTATTTGCTTGCAAAGAACAGAATAAAATTAAAGTTTACTGTAACACAGTAAACTGAATGAATAATTATTTTTAGCTTGTCCACTAATGTATACTGGCGTGTAAACTGGTTTCTGGTACACCTTTCTCATCTAGCAGAATTTAAATTATTTATGAGTATTATACTGTGTAATAGATTTGATATTTAACTTTGTAATGAACAGAGCTATTTGATCCACACATTGTGTATAGCATCAGATGATATAATGGAGAAACAAATGTTCTTAAAATTTAAATGGGTAATAGAATATATCGCAAATTGAAATATAAAGTGAAAAGTTTATTTCACTTTAAAGTGAGAAGTTTCTTTCTTTATTGCCACAATCTGTGTGTTCTTTGCATGTCAATTAATACCCTAACGAATTTTATTCTTGATGTGAGTAATGCAGCTTCTTGACTTGTTTGATATTAATTTGTTATTCTTGCTAGTGAACCAGTTTACAGAGATTGGTTTTTACCCTGATAAAATTGCCCTGAAAACTTGTCCCACCTTCTTCCTGCAATACGTTTTATAACCACGAGGCATCTAGAGACTCTGCTGCAGCCCAGAGCAGCAGCGTTGCCTGGAAGAGGACGGGCGCTGATCTGCTGGAAAAATGGATGTGCAGCTCGGAGCTTCTCCCTTACCCAGACTCAAGACCCACAGGCCAGCCAGGAGGTCGGCACCAGGCCCGTGTGGTCATCGCATGGCGGCAGCAGCAGCAGCCAGGTGACGGGGACAGCTCCTCCGAGGGCAGAGCAGCAGGTCTGCGAGCTGCTCGGCAGCGCTCTCCGGAGGTAGCGCTCTCCAGATCCGGGCTCGGGGATGCACAGAGTGGGGAGCAGCAGTGCAGAAGATGCAAAAGGTCATAACTTGTATTTATCACAAATGGTTATATGAGTATAGTATCACTTGGGATTTAAGTTAAAATTCTTTTTTCCTCATGAACTAAGACCAGAACTCTATTTCTTTGTTGTGTTGTGTGGAAAAAAAAAGGTTAAATGTACCATTAACTGGATTTTTCCCTAATTTAAAAATATAAAAAGCACTTTAAAAGTACACGTGCAAAACATGCAAAATCTGAATTGGATTATAGTAGGAAAATAGGTTCAAGACTATTTCCCCTATCAGTCAACATATATCTAGAAGAACACTATTCTACTTCAAATTCCAAAGTAATTTAAATTCCACATAGAATAAATGTATCTCTTATCTTTAAATAATATTTTCACTTTGAGTAATGTATCTCATGTGTTTACTTGCCTACTTCCCAACTATAAAGTAGACATTTCAGTTACTTGCTCCATTGCCATGTTGTTTGCTTCAAAGACATCTTGCCTCTCCTTCACAGGAATCTGACTTTTTTCATATTCTTATTCATGCTATGCATATGCAAGTATCGAAAGGTAATAATTAGACACATCTGCTTACATTTGCCAGGAGCAGATGTTAGACAAATTAAAATGAACATAACTATCACTCAACATCATTAAAGAAGTGACTCTCTAATAATTTCCTAACTTTGACAGGCAGTTATATATTCTACATTGGCATATTTACGCTCTTTGCAAAAATCTCATGTACAAAATTATCTTCATATGCAGTTGATTCAAAAATGAATTGTAAAGTGTTTCACGACACAAATTCTACTTCCTTTCCCCCTGGAACAGTAAGTTGTCAGCCATGGCAGCAGTGCTTATTAACACTGCAGGACAAGCCCATCAGCTCATGAGTGGCACAGCAGAGTTGTAAGTGATTTAATAGCACGCTCCAAGAAGATAAGGACATAAAACTGGCCTTAATAAGTTAAACCAAAAACCCATCTTTTTCTATAGCTTATTTTCAAATGTGGCCAATGATGAAGGCTCAAGAGGAGTAATAAGAATAGGACTGGTATTTCCCTGATATTCTCCCAGTGTTAAATCACAAGACAACTCAGAGGCTTTCTGAGACAGTGAACCTGTCTGATTTTCATCTTTTATTTTGAACCTCTACATTTTTTTTTTGGTGTTAAACATAATCTGTGGGTATTTCACAGTTTAAACATGCACATCCATATGCATATGGATGAAAGTAAGTATCATTTCATTTGTTTTGAGTCTGACATCTGATAAGTTCTTTGGCTGCTGTTTCTTACAGATGACAAACAGTGAATAATTGTTGGCCTCCTCTGCAATGTTGTTTTTACAGATATCTAAAATATACTTCTTACTTGCTTCTTTTCCATGTGGAAAAGTCACTGTTTGTTTGGTCTGAATTTATACTAGAGATGTACTGTGTGTTCCATAACTCTTGCTACAGTTCTTGGGACCTTTTGTAGTTACACTTGACCGTGTTGGAGATGGGGACCAGAATTGCATACAATATTCAAGATGGCAGTATACTAAAGTGGTTTAATGATTTTTTCTTTTTTTTCTGTCTCTTTCTTTTCCTAATAATCTTAACATTCTGCTTGTTTATTTTGACCTTTTCAGAATATTGAACCGATCTCTTCATGAAGCATTCAAAGTTTTGTGTTTAACTCTACAGTTGATGACTATAAACGATCTTTTTACCGGTTGGAAAGAATCTTCCTGATTTGTGTGGCTTACTTTTTTAAATTACACACAATTGTAGTGGATTTTTAAGCTTTTTTAGTTTTAAAGGGTGCTTATCTAATTCCGTTAGGATAAAAGTAACAGCAACATTTTGAACCGTGGCTTACACATTGCTTAGAGCAAGCCTTGTCTTGTTTCAGGTTTCACCACAAGCTCCTCCATGAATCAGTCATTTTGGTGTCGTTTAGTCACACCCCAACCTGACATTTATCCAGTCTATGTGGGGGTGATTGAAGTTTCTGATTACTAATATGTTTTTTTGCTGTCTCTTAGATCTCTGTTGGCACCTCCCTGGCACCATTGTCATCCTGATGAGGCAGTGATAATTCATTTTGAAAGCTTATGTAGGCCTGGAGGTTTAATCCATAGACATTTTGTGTTACATTCAATACAATTCATTCTATGGTGCAAAGCTTTCTTTAATACAAAGTACAGCCTACTCTTTCATTTCTCCATAGTTTGTTTTCATCATTTTCCACTGACTGCTTTCCTCCATCAAGTCTCTGATGTTCCTATCAGGTCAATATTCTCACTTAAAACTAGGAATTTTAATTCCTATGACTTATTTTTAGACTTCCAGTGTTTGAGCATCAGCATATATGTATTTGATCTTGTTAATTATTTTCTCTGCTATGTTTAAATGTTATTTTTTGAGGGCAGAATGAGCTTAACTTGTGTCCTAAATAAGTTTCACCATCTTCTTTTTTTTCCTTTCTTTCTCAAAGTTTTAGGGCTTATATGATTGCACTCCTCTATGATTCATCACCCTAAGCCAGATTTTCTTTTGCACCTGTTGGCTTTCCTATATTCTCTAATTTAACCCCTCACTCTGATAAATTCTATTTGTTTGAGTCCCAGCAGCTTTAGCTGAATCCTATTTTTGCTATATAGGCTTTGTTCCACAAGTTTGTCCAGTTCGTGATGAATTCAAACACTCCATAAATCTTTTAAAACACCCATTTTACCGATAGCATGAAAAAGCACTGCTGAAACAAGTGCTGAGATAGGTGATGGAGGATAAAATTTTTGTATTTGAGGAGGCCATCCGATTATCATAATTGAAATCATCTGTAGAATACTAATCTGTGACTGAAAGCAATGTTATATAATGTATCTTTTTAACACTCTTTTACTCAGCTACATTTTGTTCACCCAAAGGCTGAGTAGAGATTGAAGAAAAATGATTTCTTGTCTTCTAAATGGGCTTTGTGGTTTCTGAGGAACGTGACAATAATAGTTGAATTGGTGAGTAATTTAACAGTGGTTATAAGACTGTGCCAGTGTTAGGTAGAATTTTGTAGAATGCATAGTCTGTATCTTTTGAACTTGAGTAGCCCCAGTGAAGTCAGTGTGTACAGCTACCATGGATGTATATGAGTAATTTTGCTAGAAATGAAACATTCAGATACAACAGAGTAGGCATTAAGGAAATGGAAAACAGTCCTCAGAATCACAGAATGGTTGAGGCTGGAAGACAACTCTTCCAACCAATGCATATTTCTATGCCTTGATAAGATCTGCCTCCTCAGTCTTCTCCAGGCTGGAGCAGGCTCCCCAGCAATTTCCAGCCTTTCCTCCTATGAGAGCTGATCCAGTCCCTTAATCATCTCTGTAGCCCTTTGCTGGCCTCACTCCAGTAGTCCCATGTCTCTCTTGTGTTGAAGATCCCAGAACTGGACATAGTACTCCTGATGTGGCCTCACCAGGGCTGAGTAAAAAGGGCTGCTCCCAGTAAGATGGGGAATGTGCTGAAAATGCACCTGACCTACTGCGAGAAGTGCAGTGAGCACCAGCCTCGCAATGTGACTGTACAAGAAGGGCAAGGTCTTGCTCTGCGCCTAAGGGAAAAGAGGCTACAATAGGAAGCAAAGTGACTGTGGCAGCCAGAGGAGGTCCATATTCAGCAAGAAGGCCAAGGCCACAAAAAAAAAATACTTTGTAGAAGGGAGATGGATATACTTAGTGTTAAGCTCTTCCTGCTTACCAAGGAAACAGAAGAATTTTGCTCTGTCTTTTTATTCAGTACTAAATTAGAAAGAACATCACAGTACACAAAAGCCCTTTATGCATTTTGTTATTTTGAAGTGAACATACTCTCAAATATATTAACAACATTTTCACATGTTAAATTTGTCTCATTGCACATAGAGAAGGTAAGGGGAAAGTAACCAACATATCTTCTAGTACAGAATCAGCTGTGTTCTAAATATGCAGTGTAGATACAAGTCAACGTGAGTGTCAGCTGCCATCAGAAAATTCTGTTTAAAGAAAATTCAGCTATTAAATCTGTAAGTAATGAAAATTTGTAATTAACTATGTATTTCATGCCAATCATTTGACCATCCTGTTTGCTGCCAAGGCCACCAGAAAACATAACTGTAAAACATAACTGTTTGAAACCCTCCCCATCTTTATTTATACAGTGATACTCTCCAATTACTAAATACTAAAGCTAATAGGAGGTCTTTGCAGTGTTCAAATCATCTGCAGAGGAGAATACATTCCCTTAGCAAGTCATATGCCTCTAAGCTCACTGATAGCCAAATTTATAAAAGGGCACTGGTAGGGTGAGATTCTACATTTTGCAAGCCTCTCTGCATGAAAATGTCCATGAGGTTTTGTGTTTTGTATATTTGTAATATTTACTTTTGGATGCAGTTTAGCTTTTTTTTTACCCATTCTGTTTTTTTTTCTTTTACTCATTTATTCTGCTTTTTACTGAGCTTTATGAGCATAACTGTCATGCGATCAGGTTAGCCTATGTGCAGTAATGAGGTTTTATCAAATACATTGTTTTCCTTTTGACTTACCACGCGTTCCAATTTTGTTGCTGCAAGACAGAAAATTGAATTTAACACTAGCGATAGGCAGAGCGAAAGAATGAAGGAAGCTAGAAACATAAGTTACTTATTCAGAGGAAAAGAAATAGGCTAAAGAGTTACCTAATCAGCTTTGCAATTCTCTTCCATTACAGAGAATTTTTCTGTAGTTTATTTCTGTAGTTGGAAATGAACGCGTCATATTGTGGACCCAAAAGAAGTCAGCAGTGAGCTGCAGTTTACATGTATGGAGACTGCTGTGGTGGGGCTGGAGCTGGCACCGCTGCCAAGTTGTGGGTCAAGGTTGGGTGGAGATGGGGCTGGGGCAGAGGGGTGGGAGGACGGGGACAGCAAGGGCTGCCAGGGGCCCCTGGGCAGCGGGGACACCCCGGCCGTGTGTGCGGCAACCCACACACACATGGATGATGTTCTAAGCTACATATTTCAAAACTATTTGATAACAAAAATGTTCTTGATCGTCTTCAAATAGAATTTTGTTTATACTAGATTGTTTTTTGTTTGTTTTTGCATATAATTTAGTTTAAGAATATTTGGGGGTTCAAATAATCACAGGCAACAGGTAAAAATTTTGGCCTCAGCCTGGATATTGTAACGCCAGTGAAGGTTGATGTTTCCCAAAGTGAGTACAATGGACAAGTTTGAGTACGAAATTTAAGAAGCTCGCTCCACAGTGGAATAATTTTATTTTATTTTCAAGGAAAATAATGGCCATGGATGGATATATATTTCGGTTTTCTTTACAGGAGTGTTTTCCATAGTTCTCTATATTTAAACAGAACTTCGTTTTATTTGTTAACTCTTGAAGAAAAAAAAACTATGCCATATGACCTCTGAGATGCTTTTTAAATAACAAAAAGGGATTTTTTTAGTCAGTCTAAAATACTGCCTTACTGGTTTTACTGGTTTCCTACTTTGGATGTTTTTCTTGTGCAATGTTAACAAAATATAGGAGCATGGACCTATGTATTTATGTTCACAATATTTAAAACATATCTGTATGTACACAGGTCTGTGGGTGCTTAGTACCTACAGCCCTGCTCTCCTGGCAGAGCAAATTTCTTAACAGTAAGGGTGACAGAGCACTGGAACAGGCTGCCCAGAGAGGTTGTAGAGTCTCCTTCTCTGGAGATCTTCAAAACCCGCTTGGATGCAGTCCCATGCCACGTGCTCTAGGTGTCCCTGCGTATGCAGGGGGGTTGGACTAGATGATCTCTAGAGGTCCCTTCCAACCCTAAGCATTCTATGATTCTATGATTCTATGATTCATGTGAAGAACTAAGCAAAAATATGAGAAATCCCTCCTATTTTGAAACAGACACAGAGTAAACCCCTGTGTCAAAACAGGCAAAAAAAATCCCCTAGGTTTTGGATTTTAGGGCAGCAGCTCAGCCCTGTGACTGGCTGGTGGCACATCCCCCTGCCGTGTGGGAGGTGCAGAGCCATTACCTGTCAGTTCCTATTTCACTAAGGTCAGCTGCTGCAGTTGTGAGAACCAGCTGACAGCTGATAAAGGTTGATTTTGTTCCCCTGTAGGATCTTAGCAGGATTTCAATTAGGGCCATTAAATTTACCTGTTTCCTTGAGGTTCTGTCAGCTCTAAAATAAATACATTTGTGTTGCATGAAGCAAATTCAGTGCCTCACTGAGTCTAAGGTTATTTTTCTTTCTGATGAGTGGGTTTTTTTGGTGGTGGTGTGTTTGTTTGGGCAGAGGGGGAATACTCTTTTTTCTGTGTTAATTTCTTTTTGAATTTTTATTTTGAAATTTTATTTTGAAATTTTTATTTTGAGCATAGTGTCTAAACATTTGACATTTCTATTTTTGTCTTTTGTCTTTTTTTTTTTTTTAGGAGTAGCTCCAATAGATGTGACTTTTTTTTTTTGTCATATCTGTCTGCCATCAAGTGCATTTTCATTGCAACCTGTCGCACGACCTTTGAAAAGATGAAAAGGGGTGAAGTGCAAGATGGTAGTTCTATCTTTTTGCTAGCTTTCTGCTACCAGATCAGTGAGGGTGTGATATCCCATGAGGGTATGATACCCCTAGTATGTGAAGGTGTATGTTAGATTTTCTTTGATTGTACCGTGGGGTCATGGGGTTTAGAAACACCTGATTGCTGAGATGTCTGTAGTGTTGTAAAACCAATGACGCACTGTTTTAGAAAAGGAATATGATGTGCTGTTTTAGAAAAGGAATATTCAGAATATTCAGTATTCTGTCCTTACTGCCATCTCTGAGGAATCACACAGCCCAGAGGGACTTGTCTTGTCCTGAGCTACATCCCAGAACTGAAGCATTTGCAGGGACTTCCCTCTGCCTCTTGATGCAGCCGCTTACCAAAGGGCCGCCCAAGGCCTCCTCTCCTGCCAGCAGGAGCCCTGTGCCACTTGGATGCGAGTTTGCACCAAGAGGGGAGGTGCGTTCCCAAGACTTTACTCCAGGCAGAGGAGCACGCAGGGAAAAAGGAAGCCGCAGTCCTGCTTTTGGAGGGCAGATGCTGCTGCGTGGGCTCCCGTCGCGGCCGGTGCCGCTGCCCTCGCGCTGGCCGGGCGGCAGCTCCTCTCCCCGCGGCCTGCTCGGCCCGTCACCATGCCAACCGCGCGGAAAGCAGCGCCGGTTGGCATGGCAACCCTGCCTCCGCTCCCGTGCCGGCCGGGACCGGCTGCGGAGAAGGCGCTGGGGTTGAGCTGGAAATGGAAACGCTCCCGCCAAAGGGTACGCGAGGGCAGAGCCCCCCTTCCGCCCTCCCCACCAGGGACTCGTACGTTTATTTGGAAAACTTTTCTCGTGCAGCCCGCAGTGGGTTCTTGGAGGCTGAATATTTCCTTATAGCTGTTTATAACTCCACCTTGTGTGCTTCAGTGGAAAAGAAATCACGGTAACTTGATAGAAAATACCAAGACAACCTATACGTGTGAAGGGTCCCAGGAAAATCAGTGTAGTTCAGTATGGCGTTTTCTTAGCAGTATTTTAACCACAGCCTAAGAAGTGTTTCCCGCTAGGGAGGCTGTCTGCCCTGCTTGCAGCCTGTCACTGCAGGAGGGCCTGGAGTGGTGTCGAGGAGATGCTGGAGGCAAGGTCGTAAAGGTAAAATGAATCTTTAGTATAAAAACAAGCAGATTGAGAAACGTTAGAGGCTTTGGGTGGGTGGGGGGATCTGTGTGCAAGTGTCTCCTTCGCCCAGGCCGCTCATGAGCGGCATGGCGCAGTGGTCTCTCAGTGAGACCTTCCCACTGGGCAGTTTTCTGGTGAAAGGCTCTGCAGAACGATAGGTTTCGCCGAGTCTTTTCCATTCCCTGCCTATTAGCTAAGTTATGGGTATTTTAGACATGCTGGACAAATTGAAATGTCAACAGATAAACATAGTAATAAACAGGTAATTCTTGTCTCTAATAGGAAAGACATCAAACCCTTCAGAACAAGTGAATAATAGTGCTGCTAGTAAATTCGGACTTCTTAAGGTTGGCCTCTTTCAATATGGCATATGTGTGCATGAGTGTTTCTCAGGTCTCTTCTGCATGTAGTAGAAGCAAAGACTTACAGACGTGTAGCCAAAGCACAGGGTTCATGAGTTTGGCTGTGCAACTCTCTTTGGGCTGATGGGGAAGAATGCAACTCAGTCATATCAGGGATTCAAGAATAGCTCCTTATTCTACAGCAGCCTTATCTAATTTCGAAGTTATGTGGAAGGCAAGGGGTGGAACCTTGAAGCTATAAGGAGACTAGGAGTTCTCAGATTTTTCAATATGCCTTTTTATCTATTGAAATAGTGATTGGATGATCTTTACTAGTTCATCAAAAATAAATTGTATAAATCATCCAAAAGCTGATGGAAAAAGTTTTTCTGTAGATCAGGAAAACAAGGGCATGAATTTACATTCAAATACAATCAAAGGCAGTAATCTGCATTCTGAGCAGATATAAGGCTGTCCTCCAAAGCAATTAAATAGTATTTTTCTGCATAAGTTGCTTTGAGTGTTTCCAATAATTTCCAATATATTTATTTATTTTGAATTAATAATTGTTTATAATTAATTGTCATATTAACATTATTTAATCAAAACTATCAATGATAGTATTCCATTTATCAGTCATTTTGAAGAACATAATGCTTTTTATGAAGAACATAATGTTAAAGATAACTCTAACATCCTTGATACATAACAAGCCAAGACTGTAAACATTGATAGTCCATTTTGGAGGATTATTGTTCCCGTAATGCTGTTAACTTCATTGTAATGAGCAAACACTCATTACAATGAGTGTTAAATTCCCTTTCCTTTTATTGTGTTCAGGAGATAAAAGGTAAAAATAGCTAACTCTGTAAAAGAAAACAAATTACTGTTTCCTTTTAATATCACAGCATTTATAGATCATTAGCCCTATAGTTTATGCATTAGGTACTGTGGAATATTATAGTATAATGCATTTTAATAGTCTGAAATGCCTTTCTAGTTAATATATAGTTGTATTTCCTACATGATATGCTCAGTCCAAGAGGACAGAATACCATATAGCAAATACTTACTAATTTTTTCATACAGTCAGCACATGCAATGCTATTTCTGAGTCTGGATCATTCTTTCTTAAAATATGCTGAAATCACAACTAATACACACAAAGAGAAGACAGACATACTATGTTCTTTCAAAGTTGTAATACCTCTTTACCTTGGTATCTTGGTGATTTCTGAAATATTATTTGCCATTTGTGTGTTTTTTTTTTAATGCTTAAAAAACAACAAAAAACCTGCATGTGTGCCTTTCTTGAATTCGTAGCAGCGCACTCAGAGATGCATCTCTTGGAGTGATAGAGAAAAGTCAGTGATATTTGTCATGGTTCTTTGTCGTTGTAGGATGAAGTTCTAAGGTCTTTGGACAGCCCATGGAAAAATGTGCTTGTGGCGTGTGCAGTCAGGCTTTTCCCATTTCGAGTGTATTCTTCATGTACCCCACAAGTACCGTGTTTGCCTTTCTGTCAGGGCTTTGAGGGATTTTATTAGTATTGTAGCCAAACAGCACCTGATACTGTGAGGGACTGGGGCTAGGGAAGTGGGACCTTGAATGTGGTATGATGTTGTATTGAAAATAAATATCATGATTTATGGAGGTCCTTGCTGCGGAGGAAATTGTCTGCTGCTCTGTGCAGAAGTTAGAATTTCCTAAAGCTGGCGGGTATGTGTCCTCTCCAACAGATAATCACACCCTGATACAGTAGCTGCAGTGGGATTAATATCTCTCAGCTTTAGGCATCAACCCTCTTGACCTCTATATCTGAGTTAGTCATCTTAAGCTCCCCTGAAGGAAGGTGGCCCTTGATAAACCTCCTAGGCTACTTAGCTAGGAGTAAAAGTGCATTTTCTCATCTTACCTACCAAATACCTTGTGGCTTTTTTCCAGGCCACACTCAAAGCCCTTTTAGCATTTCCTCTGACATATAGAAAAGGAGTCTTCCTTTGCGTGTACAAAGCCTACCAAATAAGCTAATCAAATAAAATATCGATGTCAGCATTCCTTAATAAGCTTTATTCCCAGTAGTGACTTTGGTGGAAGTACCCTAAGGAGCTGGTCTTTGCTGCTCATTCTTTTATCACTCCTTGCACAGCCAAGGAGTTTCAGCACGAGTCTGTTACGGTAGTTGGCCACTTCTTTTGCTTTGAGCTGTGGTGGTGAGCAAGCATGGTTCACGTTTGTCCTTTTTGTCACATTGTTTTCAGAGCAGGCCAGACTGGCAGAGCACAAATACGTAGCAATCCTTGGAGGTGTGCGGGAACATGTGTGCATTCTGGGGCACAAGACAGCTCTGGGAGATATTCTGCTTCTGCTGTGTCTGTTGTTCAAAGTCCAGGGAGTTGCAGAAGATCTTGCTTAAGCATTTTTCTCAGTAGACACTGAGTGAAGACCTGGGAAGGAGCTGGTATTTCACAAGTGTGGCACCATTGTCAAGTGACTGGATGGAGTATTGCTACTTACAGTACATGGAAATACAGTCACACACATTAGTATATAGAGAGAGATTTTAAGATGAAATAAGAAGTGAAGGGTAACTGAGAAACTACTGGTGAAACTTGTACTTTAAAAAGTATTTTGAAAGTCTATTTTGCAGTCAAGTTGCTGAAAATTCCTCATGTTTGTTGGGCGGTGCTGTTTCTGCATGCAAATTGTAAACGTCTTCCTCTGTCAACTAAAACAAAATTTTAGTGGAATAAACAAATATAGTGACAGAATAGTACCGTTTGTATTGTTACGTATGTTTCACTTAGCTAGTTAATTACTGGGTGCTGTTTCTGCATGCAAATTGTAAATGTCTTCCATTCATTAGCTGTTAGCATGTATTTTATTTCATGCCAAAGGAAGAAGGAACCTAGCCTAAAGCTCTTTTCTGTTCAAATGTACTGTTTCCATTATATTTTAGGGCTAGCAGGATGCACTTGTTTCAGTGCAATACAGTGGCACCCTACATCTTCATTTTGATTACTTTAATATACATTGTGCCTTTCTATGTAGTGAATATTGCGTATATGCCCACTGCTTTTATAATCCCCAATTTCTTGACGTTGATGCGCAAAGCACTGTAAAAGCCAAGCACGTAGCAAATTTTAAATGTTAATGGAAACAAGCTTTAACTAAGCCAAAATAGCACTGGTGGAGGATATTCATTCTAATGCATCAATGTCAGAAAATTGGTTTCCCAGAGCATGTGGAGAGATGTGATCTTCCTGATGCGCTAATGGGAGCGCGGGATGTGCACGGAGTGAGGCACGTACCTTGCTCGCTGATGAGCAGTGACGATTAGTCCTACCCATGAAAGCTTTCAACAAAAAGACTGGAGCAAGTTCTTCCGAGCAGTCATGTCAGATTTGGGTTTTAAAGAATGAGCTTACACTCAGCCAGTTCCACAGAGCTCCTTTTCTCCCATTAGTGGCTCCTTTTGTTTTCAAAGGTCTCTCACTGCTCCTAAAAAGGGAACAGCTCGTCCTTGATACCTAGAATGATTTATTTTTTAAGCAATTAAAATTGATTTCTTAAAGGTACAGCAGCCACCTCATTAAAGAGAATGAATCACTAAATGAAAACCCGCAAAGGCTCTGAGTGTGAAAGGCATTCTGAAGTTTCGTTTGATTTCAAGGAAGGGCTTTAGGGGTTGAGAGAAGCAAAGGCAGGATCAATGCCTGAAATTGGGTTGTCTCCACGTGAAACCCATTACAGGAATGGACCATTCCCAACAGTCGTACTTAGAATCACTGAGCATCCTTTTGCCAAACAAGCAGCAAGCCTGAGGGGTTTTGTATCACCAGCTTGTAGAAGCAGATGCAAATGCAGGTATCCTGTGGTTTGCACACCTGCTGCTAAATATTTAAATGTGTTTGGAGATCACATAAATTTCTCTATGTTTTGTGAAGGGTTTTATTGTTTAAAGCCTTCTATAATTTGAAAATCGGGATTTTAATGACCTGTACTTAACAGCCTCATTTTTTTCACTGTAAAGCATGTAAAACATCAGACCTAAAAGCAATATTTTCTTTATTTTAAACAGACATTTCCATGTGTAAGAAAGTATTACTTTCAGACGTTATCCTATTTTATCTCATGAATTAAAAAATAAGTTTTCTAAAAATGAAAATGTCCTTCCACACTCTGAAAGTTATGAGGGAGAGAAAATACAAAGGTTTGTGTTTTCTAACAGGAAATTTTTCTATCAAATTCACATACTTTTTTCAGTTTTGCTGATGCTTAACTTTGAAAAATTTCCATGCATTTTAATACTCTCATATACTATCATGATGTTAACAAATGAGGCATAGTGTCTACAATTTTCAGAGTGTTTCAGTGTAGCTTTGAGACATGATCAGGTCAAATTAACAAATTCTGAAATGAAGATTTCTATAATAGATGTTTAAAGGTAAAATTCTATATCCATCAGTAGGCTCTTAAATTAGTTATCAGAGCGCTTAGAAGACAACATAGACCTTTATTTACAAAATCATGAAAACCAAACCCTGACACCTGTAGGACTTGCGCTACAATTTACTGTTTGTCTAACTCCTGGTGTAGCCTGTTGATAAGAAAGTCTGTATGTCACTGCGAGATACAGTTTCACACAAAGGCACACAGGGATATAGCATCTTTCCAGGTGTGATGTTGAATGCTATTTTAAATTATTTGGAATGTATTTCAGTTCATCTCTCAGTTTTAAAAATGGGAAGAATAATGACATTTGTCGATTAACTAGTTTGCCACTCCACAAACAGAATATCAGGTAATTTTCAGGGGGGTAAGTACATGGAAAGAAAAGGAGTAGGATACCAATACTGGTATCCTTTTATTGGTAAAGATACCAATAATGGCTGATTTTCTTAAGATTGTTTTAATACTGGTTAGACCAGGATGACTCTTGAATTATTAAAATTAGTTTAAAACTCTTATAAATATTGACGATTTTTGATTAATATTTTTTGTAAGAAAATACTAAAAATACATAAAACCAAACTTGCAAGATTAGCTGGCAATAGAAAGAATTGTTTGTTTTTCTGGTTATGCAAAATATGATTGACTCTTTTCATTACTTTTTTTCCTCTCACCAGGATTATACTTTGACTATGTACTTTCAACAGTACTGGAGAGATAAGAGACTGGCTTACGCTGGCATCCCTCTCAACCTCACGCTTGATAATCGAGTGGCAGATCAACTCTGGGTGCCTGACACTTACTTCTTAAATGACAAGAAATCATTTGTGCATGGTGTTACTGTGAAGAATCGAATGATTCGCCTTCACCCAGATGGAACGGTGCTTTATGGCCTCAGGTCTGTACTTTTATGATGAGAATTTCATACCCATTGTTATGTGTTGTTGTTATTTGTTTCCTGGTACAAGGTTATTACAAACATTGTGTAGCATATTATGTAACCTTCCCTGTAACTCTGAAAAATGCCCATAGAAAATAAATGACACACTCAATGTTTCTTAATTTTGCCAGGAGCATCTTCAGTCAGGTTTTATCTGTTTATGTAGAGTCACCATATCTGGGAAGCCCAGTGGCGGTAGAAAGCAGAAAGGCAAGCATTAATTGCAAACCTGAAAATTTCATTCAAAACACAGGCAGTAAGGCTGAACATGGGTGCTTATGTCATCTTTTGATGTGTTTGTAGTCTATAAAAAAAAAAAAAATCACAAATAACCCTGGTTAATTGAACACAGCCAGTTAAAACATGACTGAGTATACTTTCAGTAGTTCCTTCAAACAGGGACCAGCACTGCAATGCTTTATATTTTAATGCATTAAGGTACAAAGTGACCTTACATTCTTGTACTTTCTACATATTTTAGCCTTGACCTGTGCTTCCTATTATTATTTTTTCCCTCTCATAGATTTTATGGTTAGGAATGACAAAAATCCTTCACTTAATAAGCTTTATTACACTAGCAAGAATCTTAATGGAGGCTCAGCAGTGTCAAAATGTCCTGTTCAGATAGGTTTTTCCATTTGCTTCAGTGGTTCAATCTATACCCACAAAACAAGTCTTCGTCAGGGTAAGCTCCACTTATGTCATAGGAAGTTTCTTGTATTTTTAGGCACCGATAATACTCAAGACTGTTGCACATGGCAGTGCACGACAAAGAAGGCCTAGTATAAACATGAATCAGATCTGCAAAGTAGTGCACATCTTATATTTTCTGTCTCATTTTACCTGCTTTTGTTCTTTATCGGCAGTTCATTTTTTTTTACCTGACTTGTGTCTTGACCTCTCACCTCTTTAACTCCAATTATATAGTATATATGAGCTACATTTAGATGAATCTCTCTAGACAAAAAGTAAAACGGACTCAATCTATCATGAAGTTTTGAAGAAGCCCAGTATGTTCAGGAAATCATGTCTTCAAAACTAACCCTTTTTAGCAGAATGAGGCTTTCATCTTGTATACTTTGTACCAAATACTGAATGTTGCAGATACCTAAATATCAAAAAAATGGTGTAAGATCTTTTTGTTTCCTTTACTCTATATCAAGAACCCCGTAAGCAATGAAATAAAAATGGAGATTAGAACTCTTGTGATTATAACATTGTATATTGTACACTGTCTTTCTGTCACACTCTAAAAACATTTAAAGCCTTTCAGGTGGAGATTCTTTGTCATAAAATAGCACATTTGAATAAGTTAGATTCCTCTTCTGCAAAATGTGAATGTCCACAAGCAGATTGCAGTCTCCTTGATGTGGCAATCTTTCTCCCATTTACTTTCTTCTGGACACAGACAATATTCACGGTCTGATTTTGCTGCATGTGTGGGAGAGTGGCTGCTTAATGAAGGATAACTGTCTGAAATTAAATCTTGGCAAACTATGGAACACCATTATAAGAAAGAAGAAAGTATCTGTGAATGTTAGCTCCCTTGATCTAAAGCTTTTAACTTTGCACTGCTCTACTGCTATCCTACCTTCTTGTGGCTTTTGAATATCCAAATTACATTGGCCTCAAGCTGCTATCTGGAGAAAATGGTTTGAGAACCAGAACCTGGAGGTTTCTGTATGTGCCACAAAACATAGGTCACTAAGAATAAAAAGGCAAATTTTAGGGGGTACAATACATTACATCACTGAGCAAAGCAGATCCTCAAAAATACATATAATGAAAGTGATTGTTAGACTTCACTGGTTCTCATTAAAATAAAAATTAATTTCCATAGTTAGTTTTTCATAGGTTTTTTGTTTGTTTGTTTTCATCAAAAGTCTGTGAAAATGGGGGAATAGGTCTGTGGCCTTTTGAAGTTTGACCCATTGCTGGAAGTTTTTTTTTGCTTTCAGCACCATCCTGACTTTGGCCCATCTTGTTCATAGCGATGTAGAAAGCATATGACTATACAACAGATTTGTACATAATAGAACAAAACAGAGATAATGACGTTTATATGCTGGGGATCAAAAATAGAGTCTTTCTGACTGCCTGTGTGCTTGCTGTATATAGACCTATTGTTCTCAGACACTTCAATGTTGAATATTATAAAAGAGCGGAGGATTTTTTTTTATCTGAAGGGATTACTCACCTATTTATCACCTGTGTATAAAATAGAGATGTTTGCAAGGTGAGGAGGATAGTTGTGCTTGGTCAGACAATGCAGCTGGACTTGGTTCTGTTTGTTACAGGAAGAACACATTTCTGCATTAAAATGAAAAGAGGATCAAATTAGCCATCAGAGCTGTGACCCTTTCACAAAACAGTATTTATGTTGCTTAAATTAATTTAAATTGTAAGCATATATTTCTGTCATTGTTTAAGCAACATCAGCTAGCATTTCAGTAATGAGGTCCCTCCCTATGCAATAGATCAATATAAATTAAGGCTATCAGTCCAGCAATAAAGTAGCAGGGAAAAAGATAAGATAAACTATATCAGAGAACAGATATTGGACTGGGGAGTTTTAACAATCAAAAATTTTTTTTTTGTGTAATGCTTTTATCCAAAATGCATGTGTATCTGTGTTCAGCCTTATCTTTGTCTGGCTCATGTAATTGTTTCTCTGTCAGTGCTGCGATGAGGAGTTCTTGAAACCTTGTTGTCCTGCTGTGCCAGGCAGCATCCCATCCCATAAAAAAATAAACCCGCTCTTTTCAGAAGCATGCACAAGCCTGAGCAATTAATGTTTGCTTTCAGTGAGCATTTGTGCAAGTTACATTTGTTTGCTTGAGATTTCATTCAGAAGGGAACTGCAAAAACTTACTTTGGGTAAATACGGTAAATCTATTTCTACCCAAATCTATCTCTGTCTCCTTTTTTTTAGTAGTCTCTATGAAATTAAAAATACACATTTTGCAATACCGTAAGCCAGTCCTTGGAAGGAATGTGCAGCTTATGATGCTGCAATTTGTCAAACAGAACCACTGTGGTACATGGACAGACTAAAATCAAAACTTGTTCCTTAAAAAGTCGTAAGGCAATTAATATGTTGAGTGCAAGTTTGCAAGCTGCATTATTTTTAATAAATCTGTCATATTAATCATTTATAAATGCATATTTATGCATAGGTGGTATTTAAAACTAATTATCCAACATAACAGTTGGAATTGCTCATACCACCCTCACGCTTGTATCAATTTAAATCATTCATATTCTGTTGCAGGATCTTAAATGAGCCCTAGTTCAGTGTAGCTGAATGTACTAAAACACGGGATAGAAATCTCATAGTAAGAAAGTCCAAGTGTGCCTAATCGCTTTACTTGGAGCACAATTATCAGTTGACTCATTGCTTGCATAATCAGTAGGCTTCGTAAAGATGATAACTGCTAACTTTGTCATTTAATATGTTTATCAATGTTCACAAATTTCAGTTTAAGTCTCCTCGTCTAAGACTCTAGGCTCAGCTAGAGCTACTAATGCTGGAGAGACAGTCATCTCCATAACTAATAATCCTGGCTAGCACCTTGCTTGAGGGTTCAGAAGAGCATTTGCAATCATTCAGTGTAGAGAAAACCACCTGCTAAACCACAGAGCAGATCCTTGAGATTTTCCTTCTCTGTTTTTTTGAGTTATACAACTATCTCTCCCTGTACAAAGAAATTACAGTATTTTCTTGCAAAAGGACTTTTTACAGTCCTGTTTCATCTTCTATTGTCCTACGAAACACTTCTGGTGATCTCACTCCATTCCTTTGAGCATTTTGTGGAGATATCCACTTGAAATAACACACCTGCTAAAGTTTTCTAATTCTCCTAGAATAGAAATGAAAGAATGCTTAGGGAATTCATAATAACAGCAAGCGTTTTTAGTATGAAAGAGTTGAAGAAAGGCACCTAAACAATTTTCTCTTCCTGAATTTCAAGCTAGTCTACCACATTAGGAGCCTGTCAGACAGGAAGTTAAAGGGGTTAAATAGAAAGTTTCAGAGGTGAGAAAACACATGGACAAAACATGATAGTTTCCGTTTTTAGCAGTTTATTTAAAGGATTTCTCCTCTTGTGTTATTAGCATAAATTTTTGCCAGAATGGAATTTGCTAGAAATTAACTGTGCATGGACTGTATGTCTTTTCCATATCAGAAGGAGGTCAGTGAGGGTTGGACTTAGTCAAATGCAGGAGATAGATAATTTATTATGAAGAAAATGATACACAATAACGTACATACTCTAGATGAAGGCTATGATTCAGCAAAACACTGAAATATACTGAAGATGAATCATGAGCTAGCATACATGTTTATATCTGTCTAAAAGTTAATACAAATATATAAAGTCATTAGTTTAAAAAAAAAAGAAAATGCTGTGTGCAGCTGTTAATGTAATTGCTTTCATTGTGTATGTGTATTGTTGGCTCTTACTCTTGACACACAAGAGCTGGGTGAAAAATGTAGATTCATCAATATTGAAATGTTTGGCAAATTCATCTTGATTTTGCTAAATTGCCTACACTAGAAATAAAAGAAGCAAAATTATATTCTGACTTTGGGGGAAAATTTTAAATTCACGGTGACTCTTCATTATAGAATTCCCCGCAATTATTTTTTTTAAGAGAACTATACTTGTTTTTGAAACAAAGCATTTTGTTGGACCTAACTTCTTTTCAACATTGCAGTTTACTTACTCTTTTTCTACAGAGAAACCACAAAAGAACTTTCTACAAAGAACTATAAAATCAGTTCTTCACACAACTTGAATCATTTTGAATTTGTAGCAGACTTTTATCACTTCTCATTTTCTTATATAAAGTCATACTATTTAAGCTCAGCAAATGTTTGTATACATTTACACACACAGATTGGTCTCCTGAACCCTAAAGGGATTGGTCACATAAATAAAAGTTACAGCAAGTTGTTCCATTGAAATGAACATAACTATTTTTGTGGCAAGCTACTACACAGTGTTTTACTGTGGACCAGATTCTCAATTATTGCAAGCCAATCTTCAAAGAGTCCTCACTTTGGAGAGAAAGAAAAAAAAAAAGTATTGCTGGATGTATAGCAATTTTGTTTGATATTTGTATTTCAGAATCACAACCACTGCAGCTTGTATGATGGACTTGAGAAGATATCCGTTAGATGAACAGAACTGTACTCTGGAAATAGAAAGCTGTATGTACAAAGATGTGTGTAAACCTAGTCCAGATGTGGGGCAGTTTTCCTTTAATATATCTGTAAAATAGTTACACTACTGTCTTTAACCTTTAAATATATCATGTAATTGGCATCCTTTTTAAAATTTTTTTTTTTTGCTTATTTGGCAGTTTCTAATATATAAGGGTTCATCCATTTCTGTTTTGCAAATATGGTATAGAAAAAAGGGTTTAGGACAGAATGAAGCAATTTATTGCTCCAGAGGCATGTTGAAGATGCTTATCTTCAACACAAGAGAATGAATGTTCATACTTTAATCAGACTCATTTTAAAGAGAGCAAACACTGATACATTTTTTTCTGATCTGCTTTATTATGCATGGATGGTCTTGCTGCAGGACCCCCTGGGCCTTCAGATAGGCTCCGTTTATGGTTTGGAATTCTGTTCTACACAGAAATAGATTCTCTCTTCAACCTAGTCATATCCTATAAGTGGAATATTCAGATGTATGTTTGTGCTTCCAGAGTTCCTGCTCCTTTTCTGAGGCTGCCTGAAGGGTGTGTGTCTTATATAGAAAATACATATTATTATGTTCTTACGAAAATTGTATTCAGCAGGCGTTCTTCACTGCAGAAACTAATGGAAATGCTGCCACTCACACTATTTAGTAAGAGTGGAAAATATCTGCCCAAATATGTTTTTTTTCCGCATTCACAGAAAATCTGTGTTTTTCTGATAATTACTGGCATGAGAGTGCACTTGAATTTTGGTTCTAGATGCACGTGATGTCTTAATTCACACTATTCTGTGATCTTGCAGATTGCAATCAGCAGTCCCTAGAAGTGGTAATGTGTGGTGTTTTCTGGCTCATAGGGGCCATTCGTCTTTTGTGGATTTCCTGAGAATGCTTCTGAAAAAAGAAGAAAACAGTACTTTGCCTCAGATTTCTGCGTAGATGTTAATGGAGCATCTCTTTAAGAGAGCTTCTCAGAATCCTAGCACATCACAGCCATACTAAAATACTCTACACCATTCCAGCTGTTTTAATTCTTCAATTGTGTGAAATGGCAAACCACCTATTCTGTGCCTGAAGCTCCATTAAATTCTGCTGTTTTTTTCACCTTTTCCTCCTGCTTTGTCTGCAGATGGCTACACAACTGATGACATAGAGTTCTATTGGAGAGGTGGAGATAATGCAGTCACTGGTGTAGAAAGGATTGAACTTCCTCAGTTCTCTATTGTGGAATATAGACTGGTGTCAAAGAATGTTGTCTTTGCCACAGGCAAGTATTATCATTTGGCTATTCAGTGCTTAATTGTGTACAACAATTACTACTGTATTAATCATTATCACACATAATCTTAGCACTGTGTGCAGTGCTCTGTTAAAGAAATTACTTGCTTCATAAAGCCTTTATCCAGAAATCCTTGAAAAAGCTTTTCTTGCTGCTTTCTTTATGTGTTTCCTTCTATGTGTCTGTGAGTGTGTGTGTGTGTGTGTGTCATACTTAACCAGGCGCTTAAATATCTATGATTTAAGTAAATACGAAGTCATTCACCTCTGAATCATCGGTTTAGCTGTAGCCTACAGGGTTACTGATCATACAGAGTATGCTATGGCATTCTAGGTCAAAAAGACACATATTTTTGAACGCCTCCACACAGCTTTTCAGGGCATGTTTGTTTTGCTGTTGTACAATGAATATAATGCCTTTTTTACCTTGATTTGTACTGATGTTACTAAATAGTAGTATATGCCTAGCCAGTGCTTTTTGTCATAATTGTTAAGATACTAAAAACTAAATCCCTGGGTAATGTCCTTCTTGTTCCCCTAAAAAAAGTAGTAAGAAAAACTTTGGACCTCTTCAGATGATAAAGCACAGCATGGATTTATGTGCTTGATAAAGGCACCAGCCTATTAACATGTTGCTATGTGTGACAAGCACAAAGCAACACAGAAGATTATCAGCAAGTGGGGACCGTTGTTTGGGGCCTCTAGATTTTCAGTCCAAACCAGACAGTGAAAGCATGCTGTTCCCTCTGTCCCAGAGCACTCGAACAAATGAAGCGCTGCTCTCTCATGTTTGTAAGCATCCCTTCACCCACTCCTTGGACATAGCATCCGTTTCAAAGCCCATAGAACACTAGTTATCTTTCAGAACAAAATATAAATATTTCTGGGAGTGAAATTAATATAAGGGATATTGCTAACTGCTGCCATTTTTGGTTATCTTTATGAATGGAAGCTTCTTTTATTTATTTAACAGAGGGAGAAAGAGCTACTTTAATCCTGTATCTCTCCCTTCTGCAGCTCTTGCCTCCTTTGGTAGTCAGGATCCTCTACAGCACTGGAGGTGTTTTGTGAAGCATCTTTTATGACAACAATGACACTGCCTATTTGGGAGGTTTTGATGACAGTCCAAAGCCACTTTTTAGTTCAGTATGAAATGTTTCAGTAAAGAAATGGTCTAGTAATTTCAAGGTGAGAGACATCTGTTAAATTCAGAGAAAAAAAAACATCCAAAGACCTATGAGGCAAATGCAAAAGAGAGTGAAGAGCAAATAACAACTAGGGGTAGACGTTTGTATGGCTAACGAAATATTCAGAATCATAACACTTCTTTACAATAAATTTTTGGAGGGATATAAAATCTCATGCTTGATACTAGGGACCAGGATGAGAGTCTGTCATGGAGAACAGACTACTCTGTTTCTTGGATCATTTTTTTGAAGCATATATTTTTTGTCACTGTTTAAGACAGGATGTTACACCTACTGTTGTTTTGGTACAACATATAGAAATACGAATTTTTATGACAAATATTTCTATGCAAGGGAATCATCACATTTATTTCTCAAAACAATGCATCTAATACTAAGTCTGAAAGATGCCAGTCAATCTGATGGATAAAGCCAGCAGAGTCCCTTTGCAATTCTTCTCAAGAACCTTCTTTCTTATGTTCCTCGTGATCAGGAATGTTTATATATTTTTGTAGAAAATGTCTGGCATGCTTTTTTTTTTTCTTTCTTTTTTATGGCTTTGAGATTATTAGAGTCTTGAAGGAAGATATTAGTTCCTTGCATGCAAAATCCTAGTGAAAATTTCAGATTTTGATACAGTTTCACTTTGATTGTATAAAACCAAAAGAAGTCTTCAGAGTTATGCCATAAACTGCTTTTGTAGTAGTTATTTCTCCTGTCCTCCATGAAGGAGCAGTACTGTATAATCTTGTGTAACTTATGCAAATGGAAAAATCTGTTCCCATAGTTACTACTAGGAAGAAGTGGTAAGCATGAAAAAAAGTATAGCTGATGACAGAAACCTGGGAGGGATGCTAACAATATTGGAGGAACTGCAAGCATACTGAAGCCTAGCACTGGAGCTAAAAAAAATCTTGACAATGGACAAAAAGGACCTGAAAAAGAAAAAACAGCAAAAAAAAAAAAAACCAACTATAACAGCCAGTGTGGGCAAGTAAAGATACAACTATTCAGCTAATTATACATTTCCAAATTCAGGAGGGGAATAAATGGTTAGGTAGTATTTTTGTGTGTAGGGATATGAGGGTTATTGTTGAACATGAACTTGTCTGAGAACCATCTTGTCTGAGAAGAAACAAACATCCCGCAAGTAGTCCGACTTGCACTGCTAAGACCTCAGCTGAGTAGGAAGCTGTGGACGAAAAAAAGACAATCGAGGAAAAAGTAGCCAGAATGAATGGAAGTCTAACAAATGTAATCCATGAGGAAAAAAAGAGACCATGTATGTTGCATAGAGAATAACACAGGAATAACCTGCTCTATGAACAGAAAGTAATTGTCATGAGACCTCTGTGAAAAAAAAAAAAAAATCTGGTTTGGCTATCCTAATGGCAGTTGAAGACTATACACACTACCTTAAGACCTTAAGACATGATGCTTATTCATCAATCAAGCCCTTAGTCAAATCAGTGCTATAAGTGAAGTCTAAAGAGCTATTCAGCTCTTCAACCCCTCTATTTTATCAACTGACTATCTCCTAGGACACTATCCAGTTGCCTGTGCATATATATCTGGTATGACTTGAAATTCTGTGGCATATCCTGCTTAGCAATTAGGCAGTCATTCCAAAGAGTCTTAGAGTCCTGTGTCTTATGTGCTAGTCCAGTGGGTCAGTTTTAATTACTTAATTAGTATGTAAGCCCTAGCCTTCAGTCATCTCCTAAGGCATCTCAAATGGCATTAAATAGTTGCATGTAGGTAATTGAACCACATCCTTAGAATCCTTAGAATCAGATAGCTGTAAATCTAGGTCTCCATGGTCTATTCTGAGAGCCTAGACATCTTTTGTATGTAAATACCTCTGTGCAAACACCTGAAATTAAATGCTTCAATTTCTGATCTTAATCCCCC